GGAGGTGCTTTGTTTATGTCAGTAGGTGTGGTTCGGTTTAATTTTTGGGTGTACACCGGAGCCTTGTCGTCCTGCAGCAGGGCCACCAAACGGACAGTCTTCAGAAGCTCCGTCAGGCTTGTCGCGCTCTCTACGCGCTCTCCAGCTACGCGCTCTCCAGCGCCATTGCGTTTCAGCCGTGCTTCCTTGAGCTGCGGCCTTCTCTAGAGCCTCCTGCGCAGCTGGCTTTTTAAAGGAGCGCCTGTCCTTCTTCTTCACGAGTATCTCGGGCTCCCAATTCTGTCGCTCGCCTGCCGGGATTTGAACAGCTCTGACGTCCTCTCCTGTCATGAGATCCGGAAGGACACGTTCCTGCTTGAGGTAGCTGGTGAGCCGCGTTTTCCCGTTGCTCGGAAGCAGTCGAAGCTCGCTTGGATCCCAGACAGCAGTCGTCTGGCGACAAGCCGAGGCCCACGTTCGTCATCGTTTGCTGACGAGATTCATGCTCTTCTTGGCCGAATGTAAGTAGAGATATGCAGTACATCAGCCAGAAAGTACATCGGACCTGCTCGCTTACTTCCGCCATGGAGTAGCCCACCTGCACGTCGATCGACTCCACTGGGATCTCCTGGGCCGCGTCCATCTCCAAATACGGATCTTCTGTAGCCATCTGCTCTTCCTGCAGAAGCTCTGTAGACCCCTCCGGAGCTCTCCGCTGCTGTCACTGCGTGCACTCTAGTGGTGCAAGGCCTGGTCTGCCTGCCTCTGGGTCAAGGAATCCCTGAGTGCACTGCAGCGGTGCCGTGCCTGGTCTGCCCGCCTCTGGGTCCACAAAGCCTTCCGTGTCATCTGCAACTCGCTTCCTCTTCAACAGTGGACTTGAAAGTCCCGGAACTGTGGATGCCGGCGATGACGAAGCGTCCATGACAGTCGCAGCTGCCGAAGCTGGCGAAGCTGCCGAAGCCTCCGGCTGTGTCGGAGACAGCGGAGGTGTCACGTTCCAGAACATGGAGCTGTGCGACATGGACCAGAGCAAACCTTGTTGGCGAGCTTGTCCTACCAATCTTGAGCCCAAACCAGGAAAGTATGTCGTCCTGAAAAGGCGACGTCGAGTGCCATGTCCTTCCGACTAGATTTTTTAGCGAGGGTGTCACTATGGAATGTGGCTTCCGAACTGAAGCGTGTGTATGAAATCTTCAACTCTTCAACCAAGACTCGATTCTGGATGCAGCAGACAGCAGGCCGCATACCTGACGCCACAGGCCAGACTTTTCGCAGGCGCTGAGGCCTGCATTGAAACCTGTGGCAAGGCAAGATCTAAACAAAGAGGCAGCCAAACAGTCCAGGTGCAAGCGTGCTGCTTATGGTGTTCGGCTGCAGACCCAAATGCGGCATGGACCAGAGCAAACCTGGACACATGTTCAAGCAGAGCGGCAAGTCAGGCGCTGGGTTCAGATGTCGAGAAGCGCGTGACATCCTTTGCACATGGCATGGGAATCCGCTCTGCGACGTTGCAAACATGCCACATCATGACTTGTTTGATGCTATTTCGGTCCCTGGCCATTAACAACGCATGCACTGGATTCAAAACGCTTGTGCGTTGCTCTGATGGCATAGCTCAGTCGTAACGTATGAGGAACACACTACGGGGTCAATTCACCCTGGGCAGCAGTTGGACATGCTCGTGTCACAGCCTTTCTGCGACGCACCTGCTGCAATTTGTGTCTCAAGATTCGGGTAACCTTGCCCTGTAGACCTCTTCGCCCTCGGGCAATGCACAGAGCTTTGACAAAAGGCGTTGTTGCACATCCGGTGGTTAGAGCGACAAAGTACAGTAGTCTAAGCTTTGTAGCACGAGAGGTCGTGCACACCTCTCGCCACCCCTGCTTAAGCATGGCACAGTGGATAGTGCAGTCCGGCCCGGAAGATCGCGAGAAAGCTGCGCTGGCAATCTGCAAAAAATGAGGACGAGACCAACTGACTTCGTCCACTGCCCTCCCTTCTCACAAGCACTGACGCAAGCCTCGGCTGAAGTTCAGCGACTCGCACAGCTGCATAGGAAGGCATCACGTGCAGATGATGTAAACGCGGCGCGGTATGAGAGACGAGGTCGGACTGAAGTTTCTCAGAAACTTCTCGCAGGACACGGAGAGCTCCGATCCACTTCGCCGACTTCTCACATGCACTGATTGCCTTAAGACGCAACTCCGTCCAATGCATCGCGTGGAATGTGAAACCTCGCTCGGCTCAGGCTTAGCGCTGGGCTCCGTTGTAAAGAAAAGCATCCGGGCTAAGGGAAGCCGACCTTGACAAGACGGCCGACAATTGAAAAATCTCACACGCGCTGTAGGGCAGGACCCGAACCCCAGCGTTGCCCTGAGAGACCAGCCGCATCTTCGGCAGAAGCCAGAATGACCAATTCCAGCACCGTGCCTTCTCACAGGCTGCCATGCTGGCCATGAACGCGACAACGTCAAGTTGGACACCTAAGTCAAGTGCAACGCGCGCTCTGCCCTGCTTGGCTGCCGAGTGCTCGACTGAGCTTCCAACTTGTGGCCCATGTCCCCGCCAGAGTCGCGCATGCTGCGTTCCACAGGAGACCCTTCTCCAAGGAGCTGATCGAGGCGGTGAGAGAGATCAGACTGGGTTGGAGCGATGAAGGCCTCAGATCAGAGTCGGACCACATCTGCACTGGAAGGCTCCAAAAGCCACCTCGGGACCGAGCAGAATCTGTCTTGCAAGGTCCACGCCCTCCTGCCAACGACGGCTTCTTGCCGCAGCTGTAATTGCGGCATTGACCGCGGCCAGCTGGCGATTGACCTGCGAACAACGAGACTTGCGAAGAACTCCTCCTAGCCAAAGTAGCAAACGCCGCGGGCCTTGCAGGCTGCATGCATGTAGCCATGGGTTGCCTTCGGACGCTCTGACGGTCAAGCAGTCAAGGGCTACTTTGGCTTTGCAGGAAATGATCTCAAGCCGGTGCATGCACGGTCCTTTGCAACCACTCCCAGGCACAGCGAGGCATGGCCACAGATACAGTGTCTGCTAAAAACTACACACGAACCGGTCAGAACTCCAGCATGACTCGGATTAAGTATGAGTATGAGCATGAGGTGCTAAACTATATATCAGGATCTCAGCGTTGTGGTGCTCAGCTGCTGTCAGGCGCTGCTAGTGACTGCTAGTGAGGATGCTGGCCTGCAGCGACTTCTTAGAGATCTTCACGCACTCAGGGTGATTAAGTAGTGAGCGACTTCAAAAGCGACTGTGGAAATGTAGGTAAGCTGCTCACCGGTTGCAAAGCCGAGTCCGGCTTAGAGTGCAGCAAGGGCCAGGCTTCTTCCAACCCGAAGCAGGAACCGCCAGGGATTCCGTTGGAGCCTGGAATCGAGTTGTCGTTCTGGCTGCAATGTGGTACTAACAGGTAACTCGGAAGAACCATCCTCTGGGTCTGTGACTCCATACAAAGGACGGCCTCCTTGACCCAGAAGCCAGCCGTGCTGCGACAGGACGAACCATGGTGGAAAGTCTCGACTCAGGCTTGAAAATTATGTTGCCGCCCAGCCTTAATCGCACCTGTCTTCCTTGCCATGACAAGGCAGGTCGCCGTGCAAGTATGACTGCATGGCTCCAATCTTCAGACCTAGTGTCGGGTTTTTGTGAGGCTCGCGGGTGATCTTCAAGTCTTGTCCGCGATCAACATGCTCGTATACCTGGCAAAATTACCTGTGATCTTGCCCCATGTCTGTGCAACCGAGCCCTGCGCACCGGTGCATCGCAGTATTCTCGACCGGTCGCCTTGTAGATGCCGTTGGCATCCTGGGCAGAAAGGCATGGAGTCGAAGCGCCCAGCGAACATCTGAGTTGCAAGTGCCGACTCAAGAGCGCCAACGCACCTTTTCTCGAGTGCGGGACTGTCGTGCTAGTAACAGTGGATCTCCCGCCAAGCTATGCACGGCCCCTCAAGGGCGACCCATCTGCGCAATTGATGAGACCGAGAAACGGAGAAAATGAGAAAAGCATGCGGTTGGAACTGAATGTAAGCTGAACACCGTCTCATCAGTTGCATGTGCGCAGCTACTTCCTGCAAAGCCTATGAAAGAAGGGACGGGGAAGACATTTACATTTGCGATTCGCAAATGGAAATCATTAGCGAGTGCTTCAGCCAATGCCGGCACTTCAGGCCAGTGTGTCATGTTGACACCGCGACAACACATCTGCAAGCCGATCGGCAATCAATGCAGATGTTCATGAAGAGTCATCTATGTCATTTTCCCAGACTCTGAGAGCTTGAATGTGTCTGGGTCAAATGCTCCCAGTTCGCAGGCTGCAGCAGAAGGGCCCTCCTGCTGCACCTGGTTGGGACACTTTGCCCCCACATGGCACGAACTAAAGAGCGCATAGAAGCAGCATCCGGTACGGTGACGAAAGCATAGCCGCGATTTCTCCCACTCTTGTTCAATGGCAACGAAAGCTGAAACTCGCAGGCTGTAGAGATTCTCACCAATGCCTCAAGCTCTTCATACGTGCACCTTGCTGGGATGCTTCGGATCATGAGTTTTGATGTACGGTTCCACAATGAGTCATCGGGGTGCAGACCATGTGCGCTGTGCCAGCGAATCTTTGAATCTACGTGCTGTTCGAGCTGTGCTTCCGACTTGGAGGGAATGGATGCCGGTGTCGAGAACCAGCCTTCGCAGTAGATCTCTTCATTCTTCTCGGCAATCTGTGGCCACGAGCATGATCTATTCATCGCCGGCATGACCTGCACCATCTCCAAGAAAGTCTTCGATACCCGGATATAAGTGCCTTCTCGACCTTCTCGACCTCTCATGTTCCAAGAGCCGGAGCTCATGCTGTGCAGGTTGGAGCGCATCCACGAAGAGCAAGCGTGCAGAGAGCACCTACTACATAGCCTCGATCAAGGCTTTGAGCAGTCATACCGGAGCGGAACGCAGCAGTTAGGTCAGAATGAAGAGCGCGCTGCCAAAAGAAGCGACTCAAGCGACAGCCATGGACAGGTTTGAGGGAGGAAGGAAGTACACGTTTTCAATGAATGAGAGACCGAGAAAAAAGAAATCAACTCCGAAGAAAGACTACAACGAAGAAACGACGCTGACCAGAGTTCGCCTTCGGCTGAAGGAGTCAGTGTGCAGAAGCCCCGCGAAGGACAAGAAACAGTCATGCATGCGGCACACATGCACACACAGGCATAGCTCCGAGGAAGACAGATGAGGAGCAGAATGAGCAGAATAACCTAGCGACCAGCCACCACGCCGAACTGTGTGGTGCTAAGCAAAACCTCTTGTGTCCTGAACGCCCGCATCCGAGATGACCAAAGCCTCCCACAGGATACCCAAAGCACACCAGCAGCCAAATCTCTTCTGCTAGTGAGATTAGCGGTGCCTGGGGCAGGTCGCTAAGGGTCATGACTGGCGAAGCTCGCGCTTGCACATCCACTGTGCGGACGACTGTCTACCGAGCTGCTGACACTGCTATGTAACGAGGCTGATCTGATCCAGACACAGGCTTTGAGTGGCAATGAACCCTATTCTAGACTCCCTGGTTGGGCCAACGCTGCATGTTGAACGGGCATTCAATTCAATGAATGGTGGGATTCGACGGCTCTCGGCGCAAGCTGAATACGTAAGTGTTGTTCGGTGCTCAATGGACAGAGAAGCAGGATTTTGTCTGCCACAGATTCTGCGAGTCAGCAAGGCGACCGGCATCCGATCAACGCACGATGCACACGGCTCCAAAACGACACAGCAAGTCATGGCAACCCATATCGTTGAAAACCTCATGGAGCATCATAACCCGACTGCTTTGGCCCGCCACGGAACAGAATCAATGTTAGGTCTATATCGTCGCAGCCGGATGCCTGGTAAAACAGCCAACAAAGGCCAACTTCGAATTCGCAGTTATGTATGCAAAGAGTATGGGTACCTCGGAGCAAGAAGTAAACTTCTGGCTGAGGCGAGATGCAAGTTGCAGGGCACCCAACACACAGGGAAGGCAGCGCAAGCCAATTGTTGGAGCCGGCAAGCTCCGGAAGGCTGAAACATGCAGGCAATTCACTTGCAGATTAATGGTTGATTTAGTGAAGTTGGCCTGAACCTGACAGGGTCTTGCAGAACGGTGTTTGTTTGACTCCAACCTTTGCCAAGGTTGTCCATTCAGAGTTCCCGAGAAAGATCGGAGCCGGGTCTGTCGAAGCGGACCTTGTGGCTTCTGCACGAGATCGAAACTCCTTTGCACAGCATGTGAGCATCCAACCTTGGTGCTTCGTTGGTGCCGTTCATCAGGCTGCAGCGTCTTGGTTTCCACCAACCTTTGAAACTGCAACCACATCTCTGGTGTCAGGAGTCAGGACCAAGCTCCTCCGCAACTCCGTTTCCAACCTACGAGGTGCCCTCTGTCCTAGACGAGAGGCCTCGACGGGTACAGTATGCTTCTCGTCCGAGATCGTGCTGGCTCCTTTTTGTGCGCTCGTGGTGCAGGGACACGCGACGAGCAGCAGCCGTGCCATGCTGTCCTGCCCATGCGGACCTGTCGGAGAGCCTTCAATGGCAGCCTCGCTCCTGCCGGACGCAGAAAAGACGCCGAAGGAGTGATGACGGACTGGCGGAGTGAGGCAGACAGGAAGCGAGGGAGGGAGGACACAAGCAATGAAAACCGCCAGAAGCGCACTTCTGCAGAGCTTAAATAGACCTGTCGAAACAGTGCAGGTGTAAAAGTTGCGAAGGCCAGATCAAGCGGACCTCCTGTACCGACACGCCCAACATCCACAAACATGTCGAAATAGCCTCGAAAGGAGTGGGGGGCTTGGAAGGGGCTTGAGATGCACCAATTCGTCAAGGCGCCAAAGGAAGGATCCGGCATCTTCAAGTGGGCCAAGAATCATGAGCAATGGCCCAAGGAAGACGAAGGTGTATAGCAAGGACCTGAGCTCCGCACAGCCGGTTGCAAAGTTGCAGAGCTCAAGAATCGTTCCCGGCCGAGCCCTGCGCAAGATCGTGTTCGCAACCTGGGAGTGAAATAATCACAAGCTTCGTCTCCTACACACATCTGGTGCTCCTTAAGAGCTCTTCGCGAGAAAGCCGCGCCAGGCCGAGAAGCTAGCATCGTCCCAAGCTTCACGAAGAGCAAGATCCGGCACGGCAGCAGGAAAGCCGTTGCAGCAGCTGTGGTGAGGGCACCGCCCAAGATGGAGGGCCCAAGATTCACGAGCGTCAACTGTAGCTTTTCCTCGTCTAGCAGTCTAGCGACAAAAAGGCTTTTTGGCACCAGCAGCCGTGAGATCGTGAAAGCACACAGTGACGTGTGCTAAAGGTTGCTGCAGTCGTAACACCCTCTCCTTTTGTGCAGTGCGCCGGTGATTTTCGTTGCCTCCCGCCTGGCTAGCACCAACATACGCCACCGATACAGACTCTAAAATAGGAGTGTCACGGACATCACACAAGGTGATCTTCATTCCTACGTTAATGCGACGGACTAGTTTAAGCTAGCGCATGGATTACTGTCGTGCGTTTCTGCTGTTTTCGGGGTTTGCTCTTCCTGTCTTTGGGGGGGGGAGGGGGTGTTGATAACGCCCAGGTTGCATACATCGCACGGTACAGGTTGCGAATTCCTCGGTATTTACAGGCTCTGGCGCGTTTCAAGCTTGAAAGTAGTGGTTTTCGACGGGGGCGGAATTTATGTGGTTCCCCCTAAGACCCTCCATACAACAGTGACTGCATCGTCTTCCAGCCCGAAAGTAAGCCACAATACATAAAATTCCGCCTCCGCGGAAAAGCCCT